CCCCAAAACCCCAAAACCCCAAAACCCCTTTAAACCTTAAGAATGTTGAATTAGATAATATAATAAATCTCTATTCAATATTTTTGGTAATGGATAAAAACAAGTCCTTAATCACAACTGCGGATACTAAGAATGAGTCTCTCCGTTTGCTCGATACTACAATGCCTAGTACTGTAGTACAAGAGTATACATTCGAGTCTGGCATGAGGTCTCATTCAAACTTTATTTCAGACTCTAAGACAGTGAATGATGATTGGAAGTAAGAGCTATATTAAAGTTAGTAAGAGGAGCGGGTTCCTTGTGACACTAAGCATCATTGGATGTATGATGGGCGCTCAGACTTACTCATTACCCTATGCTACCTTGCAGACAGGTCTCTGGATGAGCATCGGGATAAATTTGTACAAATGCATCATTGGTATAATTTCTTGAAAAATTCTCATTGAATGCCAATTAATGTCAAAATGGAACCTACCAGCAAAGATCGGATATTATTGATTTGGTAGAAGCAGCATTTTTGTTATATGTAGCTTGATTGGAATTGGAGGCATCTTTCAGTCTGCAGCATATTTTAAGGTTTTCTCAGATGTTTTCAGTGTTTTATTATGTAAAATAGATAATGTCAGTCATACGTTCTGGTGCTCAAAGTTCTTCGGAACACTTATTCTGTTTTTAATCTTGGTAGGAATTACACTTAAGAAACGTTTTTCAGATTTGAAATATCCAAGTCTCATGCACATGGCAGGCATAATATTTTTGATTATATTCTTAACAGTCCAGCTTGGGCTTGGAAATGGGAAAGGTATTCCTGGCCACCACATACCAACGATACATTGGGACCTTGGTTTTCTAACTAGCATGCCCACATTTCTCCTTGCTTATGGTTGCCAAACGTCTTTTGTTCCATCTATGAACACTGCAAGGAACAGGGATCATGGTATGAAAATCGCAATTGGTGCGTTCTCTTCTATCTTCACCATCTATACAATAATCATCTGTATTGTTTTATATCTCTATGGCGAAGACGTTAAAGAAAACTTCTTGCTGAACATCGAAACAAGTTCTGATGTGTTCTCAATCTTGATACTATGCATGTTTTTAATTACATCTACGATGCATATTCCATTTGTATTCTTTCTCGGGAAAGATAGTACATTGACCATAGTAGATGAATTAATGAGAAGGTCATACTCCAAAGAGCAGGACAGGAGAATGACTATTAGGGTATTGAACCCAACGATAACTATCAGTCCAGACACGCATACATCAACTGCTGATAATTACTTGTCCATGAATCCAGTTCATTACTATTGAATAACAATTTTGTTATTTGTAATAGTTGCTTTATGCTCTCTAGCCATCAGGAGCATCACGTTTTTCCTGAGTATAGTGGGCTCAAATGCTTCTACGCTTGTAGTATATCTGCTACCTCCAGTGCTTTATATAAAGTGATACCATATCTCACAGAGGAAGGTGGATTTTGAACCAAATGATTATCAGCCCAAATCTAGAGTCTTCTTGGTTGTCTCTTGGATTTTTATAGTCAAAGGACTGATCTTCTTGGTTCTCCTTAATTTTGTAACTTTTTATACCCTCCTTTAGGCAAAGATTTGTGTTAAAAAAATGTTGAAAATTTTGGAAGACAATGGGTCTAGGAAACTGTTCAATCAGATAAAGTTATAAAGGGGTTTTGGGGTTTTGGGGTTTTGGGG